ATCTAGGTACTCCCATGGTACCATCACACATTCCTGTCTCCTAGTTCTGCCTTTTTCTTATTGACTCCTTGGTAAGGCAGGGGCTCCTGAAGTTTCTGGAAACACTGCCACCAGCCACTTGGTTATCTCAGTGAAGAATGCTCCTGTGACAGATTGTGTCAGTGGCTCTGATTCTTCACCCCTTTCTGACCTATCCCCTTTGCATGTAAACTGCAGTGCATGGCCATGAGACTTGCTCAGGCCAAAAGAATGAGATAGAAGTGACAGTGGCAGCTCCAAGCCTAGGCCTTCAGAAGTTTGCCTGTTGCTCCTAGCTCTCTTGTGCTTCTACCACCTCTATGAAAAAGATGTGCCCAGGCGGACCCCTGGTTCTAGGAGGAGTATTTTACTTCATTAGGGCTGCTATAACAAAGTATCACAGACTGGGGTGCTGAAACACAAGAGAAATTTATTGCTCACGGTTCTGGAGGCTGGAAGTGCAAGATCAGGGTGCCAGCAAGGTTGGATGAGGGCTCTCACTGGGTGACATATTCTCTGTGTATCCTCACACTGTAGAAGGGAGTAGGGAGCTTTCTGGGGCCTCTTTTAAGGACACTAAACCTATTCATGGGGGCTCTAATCACCTCTCAAAGATTCTACTTACTAGTACTCTCATTTTGGGGGAGTAGGGATTTCAACATATGAATCTGAGGGTGACACAAACATCAGTCCATTTCAAGGAGGAAGAGAGACACAAGGAGCAGAGCTGAGTTATCCCAGCCAAGGTGAACCTGGACCAGCCCCCCACTAGATGCATGACCTAACCCAGAAAAGACTGAAGAGCTGACCCCCTCAGGCCCATGATAAATCAATATTATGAATTCCACAGAGATGACAGAATATAATTATTACAGCTTCTTTTTCAGCCACTCCAGCCATTCCCCAAGTCACCTATACCCAAACCCAAACCAGTCACTATGGTTCTCTGTATCTCGCAATTTACATGGTCTAAACTTGGCAAGGGTTGGTTTCCCAAAGGTAACCTGGGTTCTGAAACAGAAGATAAAGTGGGCCAGGCATCCACTACAAAATGTTCCTCTGGCTTCAACCACTTTCTCTGCAGGAGATTTGGGGATTGGAGGGCTTTTATCCTATTAACAAAGTCAAGAAGTGAGACATCTGGTCCCTATGGGAAGGAAGCTCACCAGTCTGTCCACATCCTCTGGTCAGGTAGTGGCTGAATTTGAGTCTGCCTTAGGGGTATTCAGGATCATTAGGGCGAGTGTAATGGGTCTCAGTGCTCAGGCCTCAAGGGGCCCATTCTCAGCTCTGCCCCTGGTTTCCTTTGAGAATCCTATGTCTCAGCTTTTCTCTGCCCAAGGATTTTCCTGCAGAAACTTTCTTTATAACGTATTGCTAGTATTCAAGACTCTTCAGTAAACATTCAATATATACACATACACATGTCTGAATAAGGTGAGATTCATTTGTCTTCAAATTATCCCTCAGAAAGGAGAGAACTGCCTTCTTTTTGAAATCTTCCAAGTCTCTCACACTAAGAGATGCTTTTTCGTTTGCCTTATTTGGAAAACGCTTGTTTTACTGCAAAGCAGCGGTTCTCAACCTGTGGGTCGCGACCCCTTTGGGGGTCGAAAGACCCTTTCACAGGGGTCGCCTAAGACCATCGGAAAACACATATATAATTACATATTGTTTTTGTGATTAATCACTATGCTTTAATTATGTTCAATTTGTAACAATGAAAATACATCCTGCATATCAGATATTTACATTACGATTCATAACAGTAGCAAAATTACAGTTATGAAGTAGCACAAAAATAATTTTATGGTTGGGGGTCACCACAACATGAGGAACTGTATTAAAGGGTCGCAGCATTAGGAAGGTTGAGAACCACTGCTGTAAAGTCTGCAAATCTATATTGGTTTGGGCTGCTTATAGAGTTCATCTCAGAGGCAGAATTATTTAAGAGAGAATAAGACATTGCAGGGGAAGGGAGCTGGGTGGAGGTGGAAGAGGGCATAGAGGGGATAAATGGTGATGGAAAAAATAAAATAAATAAAAACAAACAAAAAGGAGAATAAGAAAATTTAGATTCAGTAACTATTTTTTGGTGGCATGATTTTATGAATTCAATTGTGAGCTTTGTTAGACAAGTCTTTTAAAGATTACAAATCAGTACTTATTGGTTAACATTTTTAAATAGAAGTATTAATGTTAATGACCAAGGGTAGTTAGGTCTTGAGATCAAATTTTCAAAAGTATCCTTAGACACGGGTCCAGAAAGTTCCCTATCCTAAAGATACAGACAAGCCAATAACTTGTGCTGGACTAAAAAGGGGACTTTGTCATGCCAAAACCAGGTGCTACAGGTGCAGGTGAAGGATTTGAGTGAAGCGGTTGCATGAGATGTGCTTGGAAAAGAGCAATATTTCTAAATTAATACACTATAGTTGTAAATGTGTGAGTTTAAATACGTAAAGTACAGCCAGTTATAATTTTTTAAAAAATATATCTTATTGATTTTTTACAGAGAGGAAGAGGAATAGAGAGTTAGAAACATCCATGAGAAACTTTGATTCAACTGCCTCTTGCACGCCCCCTACTGGGGATGTGCCTGCAACCCAGGTACATGCCCTTTACCGGAATCGAACCTGGGACCCTGAGTCTGCAGACCGACGCCCTATCTGCTGAGCCAAAACAGCTAGGGCCAACCAATCATTTACTATAAGGAGATTTATTTATTTCCTCTGCAACCATACATGTGTGTTTGCTGCAGCTATAGAAGTCTTGAATTTGGATAAATTGATTCCTCCCACTTTATTATTATTATTCAAAATTGTTTTAGCTATTCTAGGTCCCTTGCCTTTTCATATAAATTTCAGAATAATATGGTCTATAGCTACAAAAGTCTGACTGAGATTTTGATAGAAGTGAAACTAAACCTGTATCTCCCCTAAACTTGGGGAGAACTGACACCTTTACTATATTGAGTCTTTTAATCTAGGAACAGAGTAGGTTTCTACATTTATTTAGATCTTTGATCTTTTTATCAGCATTTTGTAGTTTTCAGCATACAAGTCCTGTGTACACATTTTGTAAGACATATGTAAAACCTAACTATTTCATTTATTTGAGTGGGTGTAAGTGGTATTCTGTTTTAAATTTTGGTGTTCTGGTGATCTTTGTTAGTACATAGAAGTACAATAGATTTTGTATGTTTTTTTGGTATACTGCAACCTTGTTGAACTCAGTTTAAACTAGAGTCATTTTTGTAGGTTCCTTGGGATGGTATGTAGACCATCACGTCAGATGCAAATAGGGACCATTTTATTTCTTTACAATATACATTGAGTGGTCAGATTATTATGACCGGCCAGATTATTATGACCCCTCCATCAGTACTTCATTGACACTTCCAAAAATACTGAATATTGAAAACTTCCTAAGCAAATACTCTCAAGGTTTTATTATTATTATTTGCATAACTAATTCACTTCATTGTACCGATGGGGTGGTCATAATAATCTGGCCACTCAGTGTATACATGTCAATGGATATGCAACTATAACGTGCAACTATAAACATTGTCCAACAGGTGGAAGATGACACTGCGCCTCCAACTTTGAAAAGAGGGTGGTTTCACGAAGGGCAGAGAGACTTTAGCTATTTCTATTGCCAACTGCTGTTGGTCGTGATGCTGCCTTTGGGACTTAAACCCGACCAAACCTTTGCTCTGACGAGTCATTTCATTTCCTGCCTGTTTTCTGAATGAAAGGAGGGTACTTGCAGGTGCTAAGAAGTTCGGCAGAAAACAGAGGAACTTACTGCACAGGTCCAACAATTTGCCTGCCAGTCGTCCCTTTCGCTGCCCGGGACTGCTTAGGGGCGGGCCAGCCCAGGGCGGGCGGCGACCGCGTTTGATGGAGTGGGCTCGCCTCGCGGCCGCA